TAAGGTTTTAAATTCAAGGGGCAATAGTGGCTAAAGTTGTTCATGAATGTTAATACAATTAAGAGTTGGTGTAGTGTAGGTTATTATCTTAATTTTTTTAAAAAAATTTTAAAAATTTATATTTTAATTAATATTTTTAAAAATTAACTATTAAATTAAAATTTAATTTATATAAATTATGCATGTTAAATTTTATATTATTAAAATACTTATAACTTTGTAATTAAAAAAATTCTATTTACTAAACTAATTAAGTTTATTAGATTAATTTAAAATTTAACATATATGATTTATATAAAAAAATTTAATTTAATAATTAATTTTTAAAAATATTAATTAAAAAAATAATATCAAAACTCACATGTTAAATATTATTAAAACATTAAATGCACCTAACAACTACTTTATAAAAACCTAGTATGAAAATAACTCAACCTAACAACTGTTTTATAATAATTCAAATTCTAATTCTTATTAAAATATTAAATGTATCCAACAATTATATTAAAAAGATTTAAATCTTAACCGTCATTGTACGATAATATTTATAATTAAAATATTAAATATACCTAACAATCGTTCTTCGACAAATCTAATGTCAGCAGCTAAACCTTGTTTTGTACCGGCAAAAATATGACATAAGGACCCGAACTTACACCAAATTCGCAATTTCGGACCCAAACTTTGATTGCACTCAATGAAGGTCCCAAACTCCACGAAATTCTCAAATAAGGTCCCAATTGGACGGAAAACTAACTTCCGTCAAATCTCCTATTATTCCGTTAATGTTCTGTCACACTTCACACCCGCCAATTGAAAAAAATTGACTAAATTCTAATTTTGGTCCCTCAACTTCATTAAGTTGCACTTTTTTGTCTCTCAACTTCATTAAATTTCACTTTTTGTCCCTTAACTTCATTAAATTGCACTTTCTTATCCTTCAACTTTATTAAGTTATACTTTTTTGGTCCTTTAACTTTAACAACTATACAATTTTGATACTTTTGTTAGTTTAAACCGTTAACTTCATTCATGTGGCATTTTTTATATTTTTTTGATGACAT